TACCTCCCCCCGATTCTCTCGCTACGATTGGCTGAATGTGTGATGACGCAATCATCCGTGACATAAAATCTAATACGTCATCATTTGTGCCCTAAAATGCCCGATTATGGACAACAATTTCTTGCAGCAGAAAAGGTTATTTTATAATGCTGGAATACAAAAAATATTTTTATGCGTTTATTGAAATGAAAAGTATGTTTTTTATGTGCTTTAGTGTTTTCAAACAATTATTTTATTGGCATCAATCTACTACAGGCACAACGTTTTGCGACACAATATGGCCGCATCATCAAGTGAATTGCAATCAATCAATTTTAACAACTGAAACAGTTTCTTTGTTCTTTTTTTTCTTTGTTTTTGGTGCTGGTTGTTTTTCTTCGTGTATAATTTTTAAAAAAGCATTATAATTCAATGCAATCTTTTCACTTTTATGTGCTCTCAATATAATTGAATATCGCAACACTGCAATCCCTAACGAAAGTGTAAGAATTTTCGAAAAAGTTTTTGATGCACTCATTGATTTCATTCTTCATTATTTCAATAAATATGGAAAATCGATATCGTAGTGGTGCAAACGTTTACTCTTGGGCAAGTCATGAACCCCGTGGCAAACACTGATTTCAGGGATTTGAACAAAATCAGACTAGCGTCATTCTCTTAAGCGTCCCTTACGCTATCCAAGGACAAATTTTATTCAAATAACTCGGAGCAATTTTTTCGGAAAATTTTGAAAATGTTTTTGTAACTTTCTGTAAAGTACCCCCCCCCCAAAAAAAACAACAACAAAATATCCGCTTCAAACTCAGAGGACCTTGGGTTTATTTAAATCCATCAGGTAATATCAATTTTCAAGAAAATAGGATGATTGGTTCAGGCGGTAGCGTTGACGAAAGACGGTTGGACGTTTTGCCATCAATTGATTTTTCAGTATCAAGAACTCACAAAACATGGATTCTGACTATTCAAAATGTTAAATGAAGTAATTTACCATATATGCATGCGGAACGCAACAAGCGTACTTATCACTTCCTTTAATAGCCCCTGCTTTCCGAAATTGGCATCTAATTACTGTGTTGAAATAGGAAAATAACAATGAATTTATTTTTTCGTCCCACAGGCTTGTCTAAACATATTAATGTCATTTCATTATTAATAATATCAATAAACAACACATTCATCCATCTTAGTGTTCATACTATTTTCACATGATCTCGCGTATAGAGCTACTACTAGCAAACGGGAAAATACGAGTAGACCATAGTGGTATTTAGCCGCTACTTCTTTTTCAATTTACGACGAAATGTATATTTTACAAACATAATAACAGTGTACCACTGTCAATTCACATTCATTATTTTCTCTAATATATCTATACTACCATGCCAAGTAATATAATATTCTGCCTACCAATGCCAATGGCTGCTTTTGCACATTTAAAAGTGTTTTCACAGTTTCTTTTAAGTATTTTTCTTTCCTTACTGCCTTTCCAATCTTACCTATGAATATTGAATAAAATTTTCAACCCACGTGGCACAGCTTGCTGTACTTAAACTCTCCTTTTGTCAAATGTAACTAAAATAGCATAATGTGCCCATTCGTAGTGTAAGTAATTATATAGTCATTGCATTTGTAAATAAAGAAGCACGTAGTGGTATTTCTTTAACCCGCCCGTGAAGTAAACATGTGTTATTCTTATTGTTTAATTAGGGAAACTTTTTACCATCTTATCCGGGTGTACTCTTTATTCGTTGAATGATTCCCAAGTTTATTTGTTTTATTCTCATAATGTTTGACACACACAACAATTACAAGCCTCTTCAATATATAATACTATTTATTTATTTTAATACATAGATACATTTCAGGCATAAAATTCGCCTTATAATAAAATAGTACAGTCTTCGAAGCTAATCACAGACACAATCACAGAAAATATAAAATAATTACTTTCTTCTGTCGTTAAAAGAAATGTTTTTCCGCTTTGTCCTTTGGAAGTGAGTGGCGTCAGCGACTGTCGTCATCGTCGCTGCGCAGCTCCTTCCAGCGCGGCATGAACTGCTCCCAGAAGTCGTCGTCGTCCCTGGCCACCCACGCGGGGCACGGGGGCCCCTTGGGCGGCGGGGCCTCTTGGGCGCGCGCCGGCGCCCCTTGCCCCGAGGAAGGCTGGCGGCGGCGGCGGCGGCCCTGCGCGCTGCCCGCCGCGCTCACCGCCGCGCACACCTGCCAAAGCCAACAGCCCCGCTAAGCTCATTCCTGGCGGCGCTCCTCCGTGGCTGGAAGAGAGTATCCAGCGCCGACCAACTCTTCCCCCACTGGGCCATCGCCCCAGAAGGGGCAACCTCGCAGCTCCCGACAGGACTCCCGGCATTTGTGGGAGTGTAGTGCGTGCACGTGCGAGCGTGCCTAGGACAAGGAAGAGGAAGGAAAGATCGCGCACGGTCCGTGGCGTCACGTTTTTAGTGTACTCCTGCGGTTGGAGAAACCACGGAAAACTGCCAATCAGAGCAGCTGAGAGACAGAATTCTACAGACAACGGCTGATCGGGGTTACTTTAATCTTGACACCATCTTATAGTCAATATTTTGAATTATTCGAAACAATAGAAATCAAAAATAAAATATCTATCTGCAGTCAATAGTAGCCATTTTTTTTAAAAAAAATGCTTCTATAAAAACTGTGAACATTTCCAGATAAAATATTTTTGCAAAAATTTAATTAGAGAAAAAATATTTGCCACAAAAAATATTCCAGCACATTCAACATAACATATATTGTCAATGTACGACTTTTATCTTAATACCTTGTAGAATAACCTTTAAATTCAATGACCTCCTGTAAAAATTGTGGCGTCTTAATATTTTTTTCGGTACTTTCTGATGTAGTATTTCCCCATTTCTCCTTCAGATTACTCTTCAACATTTCTTTTGTCGCCTGTTTTTCTGACTCTTCTATTGAGAATATCCCAATGATTCTCGCTGGGGTTTAGGCCCGGAGTGTGATGGAAAGTGCCTGAAACCTTTGATCTAGTGTGGAGCAACCACTCTTGTATATCAGAAGCTTTGTGGCTTTATGTTTAAGGTCATTGTCTTAGTAAAGGTAAGAAGCCTGACCTACCTCTAAATTTTCTCCACCACTCTGTTGCATTTTTAATAAATTTTTTGGAGCCTTACAGTCCATATGTATTTTCTTTGCACACGTAACTTTTTTTTCGGCTACTCTTCCCTTGCATCCCGCACTTCTTAAGGCGGCCGTGCAGTTTTGGAATAAACGTTCTCTTCAGTTTCCAGCCGCACCTTAGTCACAATTTTCGGGGTTGAGATTATTTTGATCTCTTCCCGCCTTACTACCTAGTCGGTAAAGATAAACTGTTGAAACCGTGCGGAGGAATTTGCCGATTTTTTGAAGGAAATACTCTTATTGTTGGGCTCTGGTAAAAAACATAAGCTTTGTGTGTAAAAAACATAGGTTTTTCCTGAATGATATCTATTGTTCAAAGACATCTTGAAATATTACTCAAATTGTACAAATTTTCGAAAACGTTATTTGCTTTACGCTTAATTTTACAAAAAAATATAGGCAATGTCTAAAAATTTTTGTCTCAAACACGGCTTCAGCTTTTTATTTTTTTTTCCACATTTTTTCCTTGCATCGTGAACAGGGAGTGATAGAATTATTAATACTACTTCTCATGTACTTGAGTTTGAAATCATTTTGAGTTTGAAAACCAGACACTGTGAGATCGAACCTTGGATAACATAACACATTTGCATATATGTTTAATTTGACACAACTGCTTAGTTTGACATTAATATGAGTATCAAATTTTCGTGTCTGCCGTTTCTGGAGAGTTTGGAATCGATTATCAATTTCTACCGACCTACGATGTTTCTTATGGCAGCCTAATTCCCTCTATTTTCCAGGGATTGACGTCTGTAAAGAAGATAGCTCTTCTCTGCATTAAGGCTTCTTCAATACATAGTCTAGAAAACTTTTGGCTACTCTTCACGCACTACGCTTTGTTATTAAAAGCTTCACACAGCACGTGGGCCATAATCGTTTTGAGAATTTCACAATTTCGGATCATTCTCAATTGTCAAACACGGTGGTCAAACACTGTCGATTGCGCACCATTATCCGATGCTTACAATACTATAATAATGTTACAATTTTCTCGTCCAATTTTAGGATTTATGTGTTAAACTACGAAATTCTTCCGATTTTTCCCCTGCAAGAACTTCAGAGCATATTGCAATGCGACTTACTGTCCGATATATATATATAAGTTGCAGCAAATCACTGTAATTCGCTTGTCTTTTTAGTACAATATCTCTTTCGTCACGTTCGTTCACCAAGAAAACAAACACTTCATTATAGCAAGTTAATTATGGCGTCCTCAGTATTCTGATTGTGACCTTTTGTAAGCATTAATAATGATTTTGTAGTTATTAATATAAACTGCAGGAATCATTCGAAAAGCCATTTTTAATATTTTTATTGAAGGGTTTAATTCATTTTCAATTTCGTTTAACATTGCAAGTCATCGACTAAAAGGGTATTTATGTTGGGGAAAATTATTTACGTGTATTATTTTGTCAGATCTAATAAACTTCACATATAAAGCATGTTTGCATATATTTATTTCCATTTTCAATGGAAAGTAATGAGCCCCATACCAGCCCCTGGATTTAATAAGATGGCATAAAACAACCTCCATGTATGTGTCCGGCGCCAAAATAAGTTATCTTTTCAGAATTATTTACGAATCTTCTATGAATTTAATTCTAAAATGAAAGCGAGTTAACACCCTAGCCCTACATATAAGAGTCCAGGTGACCTGTACGTGTCTATCCGTCACCCACGTCCTCAGAGAACATGATCATTATTGTAATTATTATAATTATTATATTTAAAATTGATAGGGACAGATAGAATCGTGGAAACGGTGAGGTGTACCATTGCTAGCAACACAAGAGAGCGCCTGTGAGAATGCGCCTCTTCACGCATGAGAAAGTAAAAGTCAAATCTAAAAAAGTAATATACACATTTTTTTGTAAAAACAAGTAGTAGTATTTGCGTAATATCTGCTTGAATTAATGTATTTTTTGAAGAAAATGGTTTCTAAAAAACGATTGCAAATTTTTTCTTTACTTTTTTTCAACGGATACACCAAAGGATGCTTTAAAATGGTGCACGTCTTATTTTCTTTGGACTCTCTGAATTTCGAAAATTGCAAAATGTATAAGTAAAAAGAAAACGTGTGTTGTTTTAGGGTCACTAGTTTCGTGTGAAAAATCGTCTCTTATAAAGAATAGAGAGAATCCATTTTTTCTTGCATTATTTCTAAATTTTCAATTATCGAAAATTCAGAGTTCAACGAAAATAAGACCTAAGCCATTCATTTAGCATCCCTTGTTCAATCTGTCTAAAAAAAATAAGAAAATATTTGAGGAATTTTGAGAAAATGTTTTTTAAAATAATGTACACTAACATTGATACATTAGGGGAGAAAATTTAAAGAAAAAAATTGAGCTGTTTTTGAGAAACAATTGCTTGAAAATTACCTATAGAATTCCCTACAGAACAGATTTCATTAAGGAAAAATCTTATCTATTCAATATTAAAAACGCGGAAAGACGCCGAAAACATGTGAACAATCAAACTCAAAGGGCGTCAAGTTCCATTAAATACAACGAAGACTGAAAACATAGGAGAAAATCGCAGAACAATTTAGGCGCTAGTGTTGACCACAGACAAACGGACAGACAGATATGGTTTTACCATCAATCGGTTCTTGGGTATCAAGAAGCCACAAAACATAGATTTTGACTACATAACGTGATAGAGAAAATAATTTACTCTTTACAGAGGTTCGAAAAAATAATATGAACAGCATGCGATACTTCTTTTGCGTATTGGCGCCACTAGGGACGTGTAAATTCTGCGACGTGCAGTTGACGTGCACAGTTGACGTGCCTCGTTTGAAGGTTATATTGCAGAGAATTATAGGCTTTGTCTGCGGCGGTGAACATCAGCGATCGGTGGAATGTGAGATCTCTCAGACTTCGAAAGAAGGCAAATCGGTGCGCGGTTAGCGGGAGCAACTGTGATAAAAACACTAAACTGTTCAACGTTTCACGAGCGACAGAAATTGAAAGCATACAAAAAACATGGTAAACGTTATCGGCGAAGACGAATAGTGGGTGTTACCAGAGTCCGACGAACATTAAAACGGATTGTGGCCAAAGAACGTAAAACTACTGTGGCAAAAGTGACAGCAGAACTCAACATTCACTTGAAGTACACTGCTTCCTCAAATCAGAATGGCGGGAACTTCACAAAACTAAGACTCATTGAAGGGCTGCAATTGCGAAACCCTTCACAAGGGAAGCCAATGTAAAGCTGCAAAACAGGAGGTGCCGCGATCATAAAACCTGGACATTTGATGACTGGATGTGGTGTGGTCCGATGAATCATTGTTTACATTGTTTCCTACAAACGACCGGGTTTATGTATGGAGAACCTCTAAACAAGCTTACGATCCGGCCTGCCTGCTTCCTAGAGTCAGGCATGGGAGAGCTTACATCATGATTTGGGTGGCGATGTGGTAATCAGCTTGTCCAATAGTCTCATTGGCGGGATTACTGCGAATAAATATCTTGACATCTTTAACACAGTACCAGGATTTTAATGAAGATACCATGTACCAGGGTGAAGACATCCTGGTACGTTCAAATATCAGGATTTTGAATGTACGGCAATTGATTATGTACAATTTAAGATTTGTTCAATACTTTCTTATTCAATATTTTAAATCTAACTCCAATATTATAAGTAACTATTAGTTTGGTGAAAAGATTGTCGAAAAAACATTAGGGTGACGTAGGATATTCTTCTTCTAGCACACGTTATTGTAGAAAAGGATAGAACGTTCCATTTCTTCCATTTAGTTTATCGATACAAAATGAATCGATATCGAGTTAAGTTTAACGAACCTGTGCGCGTTAAGAAGAAGAAGTTATAATAGGAACAGTTTTAGAATTTAAATCAATTGATATTCGTACCAGGAATTTTAGTGGAAGTAACCGGATTTTTGAAGATTGGTACCAGTGTATACATTTACTCGTCTGGCAACGCTGTCTCAACAATGAAATGCTTATAATGACTAGCAGATTGTAACCACTCTCTACCATATTCCAAAATGATAATGCGTCCACATACACAGCAAAAAAGTATCAGGCGTGGTTTGCCTTGAGGCGTGGATGATCAGAATATCAACAAACGTATCCCCTGGCCTGCACAATCGTCAGACCTCAACATAATTGTTATGGGACGTTTTAGAAGAGAGAGACAGGAGCAGATTTCCAGCTCCGACATCGTTTGAGGAATTGGCGAATGAGTTGGCATAAGAATGGGAGAATATTCCGTTCGATCTAAAAATCTATTCGGCGACGAATTACAGCGGTTCGAAAAGCAAATGGCGGTCCATCACCTTATTAATAAATAAATATTTGTGTATGTCAGGTGCACATATTATTTTGTCCAACCACCGTATAGGAACATGATTTATCCACTTTATACCAGAGCCCGGCAATACATGTTTTTCAGTCGAAAATTCGCTCTTTTCCTCCAAACGATTACAATGGTTTTCTCACGAAGTAAGGGCGAGAAAGTACAATCATCAGTTAGCACTGTTCAAACATTGTATTGCGACCTTGAATTCCCATTCTGAATACTTGCATGCAGACGGTAAATCTGGAACGGTTGTTTGGTACTGAGAATTGGACGTCGGGTATTGTTAGACCCCACACTGAACGATTAATTTGGGACAAAATGAGTGAGCACTAATAGTGACCAAATTTTAAAGTGGCTCGGAAGTCAATTGGAAGACGCTTAAAAGTAAATCGGAGTATATATTTCGCATTGGTATTTCTTAATTGTACGACCTTTGAAAATTAACAGAAAAAATGGTGGACGTTCAATTACATAATACGTGATTATTTATTTTGCAACCATATGGAGAAATTTCTAGCGAATATTTATAAGATTACCGAGTAATCGAATGTTGAAGGGAGCCTGTGTAGCTAAGAAGTTGATGTCGAAAGTCTACCACCGTCAGGACTCGATATCAAGGACCTCGCGGCCAGAGATGAGAGAGAGCGGTCGTGCTGACTGTGAGCTAGTGATGCACAACGACAACAAAGCAAAACATCGATGTCAATAATACATCGACCAAAACCTATCGATGTTTCAAAGCTGGTTTTCTAATCTCAATTATTAACTACGTGCGTACCAAATTTTATTTCACAGAGGTTGTGTAAACTAAATTATATTTAAAATTAAACTCAAAATAAAGTTATAACAGGCCTTTGGATGAAAAAAATGCCATGAAAGAATGAGAAATACCATGAGGAAATACTAGGTCATCGAGATCACATCGAGCGAGGTTTAGTGTGCTCAATGAAAGTAGAACTAAGTTAATCAGTTGTTAATTCATATTTCAATTCATATGAAACTATGATTATCAAAATTTTTCATACACTAACAAAATATGAAAAACGTAAAACATCTGGCACAAAACGGGCGAGTCAACTGCTAAGGTCATTAGACCCGTAAGTGTAGTGAATGTTTTCTTCAGGAGCTGGTGGCGATCTTCCCCGCTAGATGGCTAGATACGTAGGCTACCGGCGGCCTGCCGGCGATTTACCCAACAGCGGGCACCGCCCCAGCCGGGACTAGCTCCAAGCTCCGACCGCTCTCCCGACACGTCATGTGTACGTTACTAAGGGGTGAGGATGGGACAAGGGAGAGGAAGGAAAGATCGGGCGCGGTCCGTGGCCCGTTTATTCGGGCCCTACTCCGGCACTCGCTTGGCATTGATCGGATAAGCAACGGAAAAGTCCCGATCGGAGCAGCTGGCAGCTAAAATTATCCTCCAGACAGAGACTGAACTCGACTTAGCTATGAAGCTATTGTCGAAAATGCTGCCACCGTCGTAATATATATAAATGTCGATATTGTTTAGAGCGATGGGCCTCGACGTGGCCTGGCTGCTGAGCGTAGCTGACCTGCGAGGCGGTGGCGCCGGGCGACTGCGTGTGCACCGTGAGGTAGACGAGGTCGGCGTCGCCGGCGCGCGCGCACACGCTGGCCGCGCAGGCGGGCGGGGCCGGGGGCGCGCAGCGGGCGGCGGGCGACGCCACGAACGGCACGCCGTGGCAGCACTGCATGTACTGCGGGTACGCACCTGCGGGACGGAACCACACAGCTCATCCAAAACGAAATGCCACAAAATGGGAAACAACATGAAACAGTCAAAAAAGTTTCTGATGCTGATACTCGAACTAGTGTGAATCAATGAAGAAAACAAATATTAACAATTGTTGTTCTTTAAGTACACAGCTTTACTATACAACTTTTTGTAACTGCAATATTATCTTAATAGGTAGTAAAAAAAGTGAAAGTTCAGCAACTCAAGTCGATATCGTGAAGGTGAATAATTAGTGTAAGAAGGAAGTGTTGGTTATAGGGTTTCAGAAGTGCGTGGGAAGCAAGAACCTGAATTGATGAATTAAATTTTATTGACTAATGACTTATTTCATGCGGTGAGGTACATATCAGATCGGTTCTCTCACCTGACCAAGCAAATTTCGCTACGACCCTTTCGTCATCTAGTGAAAGTAAGTATGTTTCGGGCGGCTAAACAAGTTAGAATTTAGCTCAGTCTTCTTTAGGCTTGAGAATATTTACCCTTGCAGTAAATCTACAACACGAGACAGCCGGCTTTACTTCTCCCTGGAAGAAGAAGTTTATGACTCTAAAAAATCCACAACTTTGAACCCGCTAACAGTCGAATTCGCTTCAACTCTAAAGCCGCTTGTTTCCTATCGTAGAAAGCCACCTCGCGCGAGGAGGAGGAGGAGGCGCGTGTACGCACATGCGGCGGCGCACGGGGGCGCCTTGTGGGGCGGCGGGCCCCAGGCCTGGCCCGCGTTCAGCACGCCCACCACGAAGCGCTCCGCGGCGGCGGGGGCGGGCCGCCGGGGCGAGGGCCTCGGCGAGGGCGTGGGCGAGGGCGAGGGCGAGGGCGTGGGCGAGGGCGAGGGCGAGGGCGAGCGCGGGGGCGACGCCACCCAAGGGTAGCAGACGCTGCCGCAGAGGTTGCGGGGCTGCGGGGCGGCGGCGACGCAGCGAGGGAGCGGCGCAGGGCACACGCCGGCCACCTGCACCTCAGCCTGGGCCTGGGCCTGGGCCTGGGCGCACAGGGCGGCGAAGGACGTGGAGGGCGCGAGGCAAGGGGCGGGCGCCAGCGGCGGGCACTCCACCGACACCGAGCGGCTGCGCGGCGACCGCCACAGCACCGACACCTGCGTTCACACGCACCCACTCATTCATTGGTAAATGGTGCTGGGCGCGTCAACGGCTAAGGTCATTAGTCTCGTAAGTGTAGTGCATGTATTTTCCGCGGAAGGCAGCGATTATCTTCTGTCGCTGAATGGTGGGATCTGGCGCCGACCTACACGTTGTCTATCGGAATATTCCCCTACCAGATATCTCCCAGCAGCGGGGACAAGTTCTAAGTCCCCGACTGGCCTCCTAACATGTCTGGTAGTGTAGCGCTCGTACGTGTTAAGTCACATTCACAATGCAAACGTAAACAGAATCATAGTGTATAGACATAAACATTAACATAAAGTAACTGAAGTATTCACAATGTCTAACATTAACGTAAAGTTTCTATTGGCAGGGAGACATTCTGGTTTACTATTGGTTAAATGTGAGAATCGATTGTAATGAATCCACTGTGTCCATGGCCGGCGTTAGTTCTTCTATCGACTTCGTTCCAATTTCAATTCTCGATTTTGAGTTACCGTCTGTGAATCGTTCATTTCTTATGTCGTATTTAAGCATACGCACAAAAGCGCGAATCTTGCAAACTTTTCAGTTAACGTTTACGTGTTTTCCTTATGCGAACGCATTGTGAATGCGCCCGCTTATGACGTAGTCCTAACTTTTATGTTAACGCCATGCTTATGCTTATGTTTGCATTGTGAATTGGCCTTAAGGAGTGAGGACAAGACAAGTAATCAGATGGAAAGGTCGTGCGCGGTCTGGTTCGTTTGCTACGGTACTTACCGGACAATCATCTTTTCAAAAGCAACTTTATTTTCAAGATATTCTCTTTTAGCTGTCCAAATCCAAAAAACAATACACCTTGTCCAAATTTCTACATTTATTTAAGCCCTTCAATAAATACTATTTTGCAATCTCCGCAAAATACCAACATTTTTACAGTGATGTCTTCATTGAAAGTGAATTTCTTCCCAACAAGACAATTTTTCAAGTTTCACAAGAGAAAAAAGTCATTCGGAGACATGTATGGGGAATTAAGTGGGAGAGGTAACTGTTCATAGCGAAGATCCGCAAATTTGGCCATGACAACAGCAAACTTGGACGCGGGCACAGTTTCCTGGTGGCAAATAATCTTCTTTCCCCATATGCGGTCATTTCTTCAACAATTTCTTCTAAAACATCCTGTATTGCAGCATAATTTTAACCTGTGATTGTTTGACTCTTTCCAGATAGTTAAAATGGATCACACTTTGCAAATCCCAAAAAACCGTGGCATTCCCCACAGACATGACATTTGACACTGATGGAACTGTTTTTTGCTTGCTATAGTGCACATTCGCCAGAACAAAGTCAATCCTTGGATTATTTTCTCAGTCTCGAAATTAATGGATCTATGTTTCATCAACAGAGACGTAACGCCACAAAAACTCTATTTGCATTGCGCTTGAAGATGTTACAACGCTCTTGTAAAATGAAAAAAAACAAAAAAACTTGTCGTTCGTCAGTAGGCACGGCACCTATTTTGCCGCCAGCTTTCTTGCGACATTCAAATTTGTATGCAGAATGTTATTCATGCATTCATAAGAGATATTTTCGATCTGTATTACCTCCCTTAATTTCACTCGTGGATCTTCCAACTCAATATTTGTTCATTTGTCAACTGGCTGTCCTACGATCTCGGCACCGCTCGTGCTCAAACGGCCACAACAAATTCCATGAAGCACTTGCAGACCATATCATCTCAGGAAGATTTGTTCCGACGATACATCCTAAGATTTTCTTCCGTTTTCTTTACGGTTTTCCTACGCCAAAATTAATGCTTGATTAACACTCAAAATTCACATTTCTGTAATTGTCGCAAAGCAACACACACTTTTTTCTTTCAGTCAATGTCAACAATAATCTAACACATATGTCTACATAAATGTACGAGTATGTCCAAAATGAATGTAGAAGCTCAGTACAAACAATGAACTTGATATTTGAGTGCGAAGTGTAGTCGAAACGGAGGCAGATCTAACTTCGCAATCTGCCTCCGTAAGCTATCAAACTATAGCTCGTTCACTTAGAAAAAACCTATCATGGCGTCGCTTACCTCGGGGGGCGTGGCCAAGCCATCCCCAACTGTTCCCGCAGTGGAACTCAGTTGAACTCGATGGACCGCATGCAACGATAACTGATTCGCTCTTGCGACTTCGTTCTCACGCTTCTACACTCTAGGGTTCGGGGCGTTAGTCAAGGCCAGGCTGTCTTCTTCTCGCCCGCAGACAGAGGCCACGGAGGCGGTGGCTCCTCAAGGCGGGGAAGATGAGCCTGGAGAGGGAACCTTCCCCTCCGCCACTTTCCTCGCATTGGTAATCCAGGTTTGTTTCTAAGTGGTCGAGCGTATAGTGTGTAAACTCGCCAACGTCGAGACTCCAAATCTGATCTGTCCGCGAGAGTCTTTGTGAAGCCGCGGGTGGGAGGGAGAAGAGCCAGTGGGAGAAGTGAAGGAGGGCTGACCTTGAAGGAGGGGCCGTCGGGAGGGTAGGAGTGCGCGGCCGAGGGCGCCGCCTGGAGGCTGTGCTTCCACGGGCACGCGTCGCGCTGCCGGGCGCGGTGCCCGGGCGCGGGCGTGGGCGCGGGCGTGGGCGCGGGAGTGGACGTGGGCGCGGGGGTGGCCGCAGGACAGGGCGCCGGGGCGCACGGGGGCGACGCAGGGCACGGGGCAGGGGACGACGCACGCGGCTCCCTGCAAACGCACGCAGGGGAACACACCAGCAGTTGCTCAGCAATTACTAGACCTTGTCCATCTAATAGCATTTTGCACAGAAACTCCTTGTTACTGCTTTAGTGTATTGTCACGATTTCTCTTCTTAAATAACATCCAGAAGGTTATGCTCAAGCGGATGAGTATGTTGAATATAATTTACATTTTTGCATATGGTGAAGAAAACAAAAAAATGTGACTGGACGGAAATATAAATTGTTAGTTTCGACAGATCTGTATCGCGCACGGGCCTGCGAACTCATCAGATTAATTTATTATCGACTTTCTGGATACGTCAACTGTTATAGTAACTCGTCTCGTAAGTGTAGTGGATGTTTCTACCCCGGGAGGTGGTGGTGTTCTTCCTCGCTGGATGGCCAAATACGGCAACGACCTACATGTCGCGTTTCGGGATTTTCCCCATGCAGCACCGCTCCAACACTGTTGTAAACATGCTCTCCTAAGGATTCCACTAACTTTTTCTCAATTAATACAAGAGACAACCCGCACATTCGTCCTTCTTCTTATGTTGACTTTTTATAATTATGTTTTACTTTTAAAGCAGAAAAACTCCTTTCTGTGGATGCTCTTAGCTAGTATCGTGCGTATTAATTTAGCTAAACGGAAAATGTCCATAAATAAGTAGTCAAAATTTTCTATGTAAAAAGTTTCTCCGTTTTAATGAAAATTTGACTTCAAATGTTACAATTACATTAGAATCATTTCATTTACTCAATTCTAGTGATACAGAAATATTTGTATCCGAGTTAGCAAACAAATTCTCAGAAAAAATCGTTTCATGAACAAATGCAAAAATTATCAATCAACTACAAACTGCCCTTCTAATGTAAGTGAACCAAATACTTTTCTGTTTCAAATAAATTATGATCTCTTCAATTTCCTTCACAGTGCGTGGTAACCAAAACATCGGAAAACAAACCTAGTAAACGCACTTAGTCCGGACAGGCACACACTAGTACCGTTATATGATCTAGGCTATCCGTGACAAGCCGCGTCACTGATATGGTTGGTGGTTGATGTTCCGGCCAGTTCGCTGAGAGCAATACGCTCTGAGGAAGACCGCAATACACTGGCCGAAACGTAAGTCACTATCTCAGTGACGCGACTCATACCGGATAGCCTAGATAATACAAACTCCGGCCACGGATGCCTTCACAACCACTCTATACCGTTTCTCTCATGTTCATACAACGTCGTAAAGGCGCATTTAACCACGCGTGGCCGGGAACAGCCGAGATTCTACTAGACTGGAGAGGATGACTGGAGAGCTTATCGCCGTGCAAAGGAATGCGGCAGAAAGTGGCTGGGTGTGTTACCTTGAGCGACGGCAAGCTCTCAATTCGATGCGCTAATATTGGCGAATCCTTTACGTGCTTCTCATTGTTTCATGGCTATTTCCCCATTCTTTTTTAACATTCCCATTAAAATATCTATTGATTTTTTCTAATATCCGTCTCTAAAATATTGAAATGCATTATTTTAATAATTATGTTGTATCATCGTCGCATCTTCGGACGACCGAACGCCTCGCCACTGGCTTTAGTATACTTTATTTCGTAAAAAAACCTCTTATAATCGGAAATAATTTGTTAACGATTTCTTCAGGATTATCACGACATAAATATAAAAATTTCAGAAAGTCAGAAGATATTTCAAGATTGGAGGCTGAATATCCCCACCCGCGTTCGGGTGCGTGGAAATAATATTTTCACTTCCCCAGGTCCTGAATATTGACATACTCTTGGTGTATTGTGCTCGTGAATGAGCCGTTCGCAATTCGTTTGATTTTGATTGATTGATTAGTGATTCTCGACGCGCCAAGTGCTAAGGGCATTTTCCTGTACTTGTAACGCATGTTTCTATCAGGGGATGTGACGGTAATATTCCCCCGGTGAATGGCGAGATCCGACGCAGACCTACTGTCGGCTAGCGGGGTTTTTCTCCAACCAGATATCTCCCAGCAGCGGGACACCAGCCAGGACAAGGTCTAAGCTCCCCAACGGTCTCCCGGCATGCGTGGTAGTGTAGTGCGTGTATGTGTAAGCATGTAAGGGGTGAGGATAGGGCAAGGAAGAGAAAGGAAATACCGAGCGCGGTCCGTGTCCCGTTTGTTAGGTTACTGCTCCGGCATTGGCCTGGTGTTGATCGGAGAGACCAGGGCAAACTACTGATGAGAGGAGCTGGCCGCCATAATTCTCCTCAAGAGAGCGACTGTACTGACGTAGATATTTTCTAGGTGGTGTCTAAATTCCCGGCACCGCAGTCGGCGCTTCGGAGTGTGGGCTGAGAGAGACAGCGGGCGGGGGAGGGGGCACGTACTCGTACTTGCAGGGGCTGCTCGAGGACAGCGGGCAGACGTCCTCCGTGGTGGGGGGCAGGCGGAGGGGCAGGCGGAGGGGGAGCTCGCGGGGCACCATGCTCGTCTCCAGGCTGCGCCCGAACGCCGGGTGGCCCGCACCCGCCCCCACCTTCCCGCCAGTCGCCAGCGGCCACACCTGTGCAGAGCCCGCACCAATTCAATACAACTCCACGCAGCATTTTAGTGTCCATTATAAAATGACATTTCTATGTTTCAGTATATATTTTCTAAATGAATATGAAGCAATGTATTTGAAATTAAAACGTAATCAGTTAATTCTACATTCCGATTTAAATGTAGGGTCCCTTCGAGGTAACGGACTGGAAAGATGGGGAACATTGCCATCCAATTGGGAGCTTCGTTACGACTTAAAATGTTAGTACTGAAGCTCCCTATTGGATGACAATGTGCCCCTCTCCTTCCATCCCGAGACCTTTAATTAACACTTCATTTAATTCGGAATGTAGTAGCATTCCATTGTGGCCATGACTCGTTTGCTGCATATAGAATTATTAAAAGTCCCCTTAATTATTATCACTGTCCTTTAGATCGTATACAAATTTAGTAATATCTCAAAGGAAGAAAAAATGAGTGAACGAGATTCAGAATTAAAAGAACGTTTGGTAAATATTTGATCCTAGGACTGTTAAAACACGATTGACTCCTCGGTATGACCAAGTTACTTGACACTATTTGAACTCTTTTTTTTTTTTCGGTTTTCGAAACTCATTTAAATTTATCAACAATGATTGTAATTAATTTCTCTGGCTATGTTTTATTGAAATTATTGAATTACATGAAGTCAGTGCACAGTATTTGATGTATTATAAGTCTGCCTCAGTCCCTCATACCATACATAGTCGTGCGTGCAAATTTACTTTCGTGTCATTCCACTTTTGATACTCACTCGCTTTTTCTTTACTTAGGGAAACATAGTTGACGTTCCCGTCATTGCTTGTTTGGTAGTCCCCGACTACAATGCTGGGGTGGAATTGCGGAAATCATAATAATTCCAAACCTGGCATCCGACATACAGAACTCTCTCTGTAAGGAACAACTTCAGTTTGCGTTTGACGATTTTGCTTTTTTCGGCGCTTTCAGACGCCCCCCCCTCCCGGGTGGCCATAACTCACGAACAAATGTGCATAACTGAGGCGAGATTCGGACCTGCAACTTATCGAGACATGGCTTTATATTCCAATTTAAACAGACAGATACTTCACGGTCACAAGCTGGAAGCAAGGAGAGGAGGACATGGTCAGGCAATCAGGTGCTCCAATACCAAAAGTTTAAGTCATAACGAAACTCCCGATTGGATGCCAGTGACTTCATCTCCATGTAGCTTGTGACCAAAGTGTCATTCTGTTTAAATCATCGTATATGGGCGTACGCTCCAGGTCGGTCGAGAATGACTGCTAGAATCCAGTAGATTAACCAGCTCTATATTTCTCAAAAATGGAGTCATAAGTAGGTTACCCTTCACGAGAATAATCACGACGGATCCTCGCTCTAGGCCAGGCCTGCTCAGCACTTTGCACTTTGACTGACCTCGAGAGCCGCGCGAGAGCAACTTGAGTGCAAACCCGGGCCGCTTGGATGGGTGGAGATAAGAGTGATTCTAGGAGTGGGGACCGCCAATGAGAATGCGCAATTTGATCTGAAAGAGCCATTGCGAGGCCTGCCCTAGGCGCCGCAAGGCGTGCAGGCGGGATCACCTGCGGGTGTTCGCCCGCCCTTGAGGGCCGCAGGCGGGGCCGGGCCGTCCTCGCAGCGGAGAGCCTCGACGCGCCGGAAGCCGCTGAGCCCTGCGCAGGGGGCACAGCGGCGTCCCCCAGGCCGCCCTCGCTCTCGGCCGAGGGCTCCCGCCACCCGGCCGCCCTGCCGCCGCCCCCGCCGCCCGCCGCTCGTCCGGCGACTCGGCAGATGCCCCGCCCCTCCTCGGAGCCCGACGGCCCGCAGTCAGCCTTCCGCAGAGCTGCACTTTCAGCATTGGATTCCCTGCGCGTCGGGTACTCCTGTGCCCCGTCCCTTATCCCTCCCCCCTTGAGCGACTCCGGCGCTGAATCCTCGCCTCCGGACGGATTGCTGGGTGACTCTTCGAGCTCCGATATTCGGCAACGAGCCTTATGTCGCTTCCAGACGTCAGGCGAGGAATCTCTGTTCCCACACGTTTCTAACGCGTTCTTGAAACCGAAATCTCTCCTCTTCCACTCGCGAAGTGACGAGTCTTTGCGCAGTAATATTCCGGAATCGCCGCGCAGACTCGGTCTCGGTATTGATTCTCGCGTGCCTTCCGTCTGCACGAGATAATTGGCTCCCCGGCTGTCTATCATCTTGCTGAGAAGCATTCCGCCTGCGTCCGAGTCCTTGCCCTCCGGGCCCTCGCCTTCGCCGCCCAGCGACGCGTAGAACACCGACTCCCCGCGCGAGGACTTGCGGTGCGACGTCTCGCTGTGTCTCGCTTCGCGCGTGCTTCGCCCGCGCTGGGTGCTTTCGTGGTAGTACTCTTGGGATGTTTTCGTTTCTAAGGAGCTCCCGGATATTCTGCGGCGAGGTCTGTTCTGGCTTTCGTGAAAATTGTCATCGGAGTAAGAATCGTCGTCCTGTGTAAAATGAGAAATTCGTTAGGGATTCAAGTTTAATCAAACTAAGCAACTCTAGAAATAATATATT